AAGGTCTTTCTCTCTCCAAGCCTAACTCTATGCCCTACACCCCCATCACTGCTTCTCATTTATAACCCTAACAATCATCCAAAAACATAAGAGAGGTGGTGAGCTATGTTAGCAGACAGATTACCTAGAAGTACTAGAGTAAGGAAATTTAGCTCAAAGAAAAGAATCTGAATCCAAGGGGGTGAGTCCAAATTTTGAATGAGAATCCTGACATCACATAGGTAATGCAACTGACTCAGGTCAGGGAGAAGATAGAATGAGAATACTGTTAGTTTAAGAGGTAGGGGAAGGGCTGGGCCATCACCTCACTCTACCTTTCATCCTGCTAAAGAGGGAAGACTTCAAATATTAGAGAAAGCCAACTTCCTCATTCTCTAGATGAGGAAACTTGGCCTCAGGAGAAGTGGTTTCCAAGGACAAATGGCTAATTAAGTGTAAGAGGTGGAGCTCAAACCCAGGGTTTCTAACACTGAGACTAATGAATGCTCTTTCTCCTATAGCAAATGGTTCTCAAACTTTCTGGTCTCAGGACCTGCTTACACTGAAAAACTACTAATGACTCCAAAGAGCTGTTGTTTATGTAGGTTTTATCTATCAATATTTACTGCTTTGGAAGTGAAAAAAAAATTTATTATGAAAATAGTTTTGATCTTGCATACACCCTGAAAGGATCTTGGGGATCCCCAGGGATCCCCAAGGGCCACACTTTGAGAATGGCCCTACTATAACATGTTGCCTCTTAGGAGTGGAGGTAAGGACTATTTGACCTCAGGGGGTTAGCCTTCAAATTGCCATGAGGAGAATTTAAGCTTGATCTCAGGAAAAACTGGCTAATAATTAGAACATTCCAATAGCAGACTGGACTGCCACCAGAGTGGGTGGGTGCCCCCTCACCAGAGGCCATCAAGCAGAGGCTGGAGGACCACTTGGTGGATATATTAGTGTCCTCATTTCTTTTGGGTGTAGGCTGGACAACATAGCCGCCAGGTCCCTCCCAACCCTTAAATTCTATGAATCTCTGATGAGCTACGTTAAAGGGACAATGGCTCAGACTTTATCTTCCTTGGGAACCTCATGAGAAAGTTTGGGATGGAGCAGTATGGGGAGTAGACAAAAGTGCCGAGCTGACCTAGCCCTTTCACTGGCCAATTAAATTTAGGGCAGAAGACTGGGTACTCATTTCATGGCCTCAAAAAATTTGAGGAAAAGTTTCATCCTCTACCTACTTTTGGATTTCAGGTTGAGCCTCTTATCAGTTTTAATTTGTCCATTCAATCAGCACTTACTATCAATTGTGTGCCAGGTATTGGGGAAACAAAGACAAATTAATTTAGTCCCAGCCCTCATGAGCTTGCCGTTCTTGGGGGAGTGGGAGAACAACACATTCACATAGATGTAAACACAAATTAAATGCAAAGTAATTTCACGAGGTGTATAAAGTTTAATGAGGTAGAGGTGCTGGAGCAAAGTTGAGTTTGGGTTCTAAGAGTCAAGGGCTTGCAAGAGGCTGATTTAGGGTTTCTGTAATGTGTATTGTTAACATTACTTATTTTGTATCCACCTGTCTTGCAGAAATGGCCAATGAGATCTCGCCTCTACGCTGGAGCCTTGGGGCCATCTGGCCTTGACCCTACTAGCAGTACTCCTGGCCAGACAATGTGGGAATCAGCAGTCAGGCCCCAAGTCCCTGAAGAGGTGGAATTCATTCCTCCCAAGCCAGTCTCACCATCTTGCAGCGGCAAATAACTTCATCTGTTTCCTTTGTGCTTGGCCCCTTAACTTAGAATGGGGCCAATGCTCTCAACCTGGCCTTACTTATCCCTTCTATGACTCTGTAGACTACTGGTCCATTTCAGGGTCTTCCTTTCAGAATCCCCAGTACACATATAACCCTTGTGAGGAATGCAGTTGGGGCCTAGGGAGCTGGCAGAGAACTTTTTGGCTGAAGGGCAACAGGGAAAGTGGAAGGGAGAAGTACCAGTACTTTATTCTTTTGAGAAATAGCTTCAAGGTGACTCGGTTACCACTGATGGGAGTGACAGCTCTGGATGCCTGTGATTGTGGTGGAGTGATGGAATCTCTTCAAAATCATCTCTCCCTCTTGCCTCTCTTACAAAGACTTTCTGAATTAACTCTCTGTGGAGCATGAGAATGGCCCCAGCCAAGCGCAAAGGTAGAGAAGACTTGGATGGCAGGTATAGCAAAATATTTAGCACCATTGGGAATTAAGGAGGGTAGGCTGTTCACTGTGATCTTGGCAAGTTCTAAACTGTAACAAGAACTAGGCACTGATCTTTTGGCCCAAGGACCACATAAGCATCACTGGGAATTATGGAAGAGTAGGAGCTAGAGGACTAGGTGGTTGTAACATAAACCAGATCTGAGATGACCAGACAGCCTTCGTTAGGCAGGCCATTCCTGGATTCACACTTCTTATCCTCCCAGATAAATGCCCCTCTTTTTGTCCTTTGCTGGGCCCTGCTGCTTTCCTCCCCCATTCCATTTCTTTCCTCTGCAAGTCATATTTACATGTAAACAAACCCCCAGCTCTTACATTTCTAATTTCCAGAGAAAAGTCCCAGCTGTCTTGTGTTTCTGCTTCAGTATCACCAGATCCTAAATGGAAAGCTGGAAGGGTCCTGAGGGGCCATCTAGTCCAACGCTCACATTTTAGAGTAGAGGAAATTAAACTCCAGGGAGGTTGTGACTGCCTGAGGTCACGTGCATCTGAGGCAGGATTTGAACCTTGCAAATCTGTGTCGGATAAATCTAGAACCAGTGCTCTTTCCACCACACATCCTACTTCCACCCAACTCTCTCAAGACTAGACTCCCTTTGCCACCCACACTTACGGGTCTGGAAACAAGGCTTCTCACTAACAGGACAAACATTGGACTCTACGGGTTCATCCCGACCCGCACTGCTGTATTTGAAATGTGGTCACTATAACCAAGAAGTTCTGTGCCCCTAAAGTATGAGGGAATGGAGCCCAAAGCCCATATGGAGGCAGTATGATTCTCTCGATCAGCCCTCAGCCTCAAACCTTGTTATCTAAGGGTCTGATGGAGGCATGGGGATGAGATGAGAGATTTCAGTCTCCTCCCAACTTGTCCTTACATAGAAACCATCACAGTCACGGGAATACTAAGAAATATTTATTTTGGTATGTAAGACAAAAGTGGCCATAGACCTGGATTCTAGGATGACGAGCAGCACAGCGACAAGTTTGGGGGTCAGGAGCACAGAAGAGAATGAGGCTAGAGGAGAAAGATCAAATTGAGGTGGGGTAGAAGAGGAAACAGGGAGGGTCTGCCCAGGATGTGGAGGAGCACTTGAGACGTGGCTGGAAGCCATGAGAAGGAGGCCTTGGCCAAGGCTGAACTCATAAATCGGCTTAGGACCAGGCTATGGGGAGCTTGGATGGAGTTGCTTCTCAGGCAGCTGCACGGGGGGGGGGAGGGAATTGGGGGCTGTAGAGTGTCCAGGTGTGGGAGGAGGGCGTGAGCACAGTGTTCCTCACTCCAAGACCATAAAAGTCCAGCTCAGATATTCTATTTTTAAAAGTCGAATAGCAATGTCTTCTTCATTGGGCTGAGATGGCTGGGAAGGGGGGTAGGGGGTTGGGTGAAGATTGTGAAGGGGGAGAAAGAAGTCTGGGAATGTATACTCCAGGGATGGATAAGGGAACAATCTTTCCAGGGTTTAATAACAGAAGAATTAGAATTAGCTAGCTTAGACTGTTCAATTGCCTATTTCTCCCTTAACTTTCTCGGTAAATACTTCTTCCTGCTCCAAGTCTCAGAGAGGCATGGACCCCTTACTTTACGTCACAAACTCTTTTTCCTGAGAGCGAAGGCAGAGATGGTAGACTTGCACCAGATCAGGGGAAGGGTGGTGGAGGGAGGCCCCTGATCTTGCCCCCACCCAGTACTTTCAGGATCTGATTGTCATACTCTCCTTTGGGGCCCAAGAGCTCTCTGAGGTGCTTAGGAATGACCCCATTAAATCTCAACAGGGGTGCCAGACAGCACCCCTCCAAGTACAGCCTGGCCCCTACAAGTTCCTGCTTACCAGAGCAAGGAAGGCCTGAGCCATGACTGACAAAGGAGAGGAAGAAAGTGTGCAAAGGAAGGCTGGGCAATGGAAGAAGCAGGGATAAAGGGAACTAGAGAAAATGGAGTTTCCCAGTGACTGCTTTTCAAGAAGAAAAGTTCCCCTGATCAAATTCTCATAGACTCAGATTTTGGTCCCAGGGTAGGCAGGCAAAGAAGGATCTGTTAGGTATGCTACACCATAAAGAGAGGTGCCTTCAGGATGGGCACAGGACAGCTGCAATAAAGAAGCTAGATGAGTCCAGGTGAAATAACTGTATTCCCCAGGGCAAATGGGTATGTGGAAAAGCCTCAACAAGAGACAGAATGACATTCAGGTGGGATGGCACAGAGCAGGAGATCAATCGGGACATGCAGTGTGAGACCATGATCAGTTAGAGGGCAGGAGGTAGCCAGCCTGGTCAGCGCTCTTTGCTTTTGATTCTGGTCAGAGCCTGCCTTGTCCCTGTTTGTTCCTGTACAGTGTGCTGGAAGCTTCCCCGACCAGTCTAACAGGCCTAATAAACCCTTTAGTTCTGATTAGCAACAGGAGCAAAACAGATGAGTTTTCCACCAGTGGGAGCTTCCGCGGATCATGGTTTCTTCAGCCTCTGTCTGGAGTTGGGGTTGGAAGGAGTGGAGGGTTTTAAGTTAAACCAGTCTCCCACAAGATTCCTTTTAATCTCCCTGAAGAAGGCCTTCCTCCCTGGGTACAATATATTGGCTCCTCTTCTGTTAGACTCCTTTCTGCTTAAGGGCATGACAAAGTCCAACAATAATCAGAAATAACAAGATGGTGAGTGACAGGAAATCATGGCTCCAGCTATTGTGTAGGGTACATCATGTGGAAAGATGGTCCTTTGGTGCATCCTGGGTCACCAGCCTCAGATATCCCTGCTGGAATAGACACAGGCTTGCTGTCGGTTTAGTGGGAGAGAGGGTTGATGTGTTTGCCTCATGGGTAGAGGGAGAATCTGAGACAATGGATTCTCTTCTACTCCCAGGTCACAGTGATGTCTCTTGTAGTATGAAGGCATGACCATGGTCCTCCTGGATGTGGCCTTGCTCAGGAATTACCACCAATTCCTCTTTCCCACAGCCGGTCAGCTTGCCATTGCTTATCTTCTCTGGTATCTTATCTGTCTCATAAGAGAGGTCCTAGAGATAAAACAGGTGTGATATAGTTAGGATGCTGGAACTGGGGAGACAAGGACCCTGGGGAAAGGTTCCAGTCCCCATTTTGTACAGGTGGGAAAATGCAAGAGATGAATCTTTCCTCTATACTGTGGGGACCAAGGATATGGCTCAAGTCAGCAATCTCCTATGAGGTCTTTAGAAAGATCTCAAACTTGTCAGAAAAGGAAGAAAAAGTTGGGGAAAAAATTAGACGAAGGAAATGGATATGGTGGGAGGGTGGTAGAGAGGACATGGAGGAGGATAAAGAACAAATGTAGAAGGGTATTTAAATACTACATGTATTACTTGGCAATAGTCCCGGCAAGGTAGACGGTTCCGACAGGAGATGGGCAGGAGGGCAAACAGCCGTGGCAACACTGGGTAAATTGTCTGAGGGTTTGGGGGCTGGCCCCTTGTTCCACCTAAAAGCCAAAGGTCCTAATTAGTCTCTCTTAGGCCCTCGGCTCTCCCCAGGCCCAAAGCAATCATTTTTTTTTTTCTAATTTATTTATTTGTAGTTTTCAACATTTACTTCCATGAGATTCTGAGTTCCAAATTTTCTCCCCATCCCTCCCCTTTGCCCCCACCATGATGGCCTACATTCTGATTCCCCCTTCACCCAATCTGTTCTCCCTTCTATTACCCCCCCATCCCCTTCCCCTTCTATTTTCCTGTAGGGTAGGGTAGATTTTAATATCCCTTTGCCTGTGTATCTCATTTCCCAGTTGCATGCAGAAACAATTTCTAACATTCATTTCTAAAACTTTGAGTTTTAAATTCTCTCCCTTCCTCCCTCCCCACCCACCCTCATTGAGAAGGCAAGCAATTCAACATAGGCTATACATGTGATATCATGCAAAACACTTCCATAATAGTCATGTTGTAAAAGACTATATTTCCCTCCATACTATCCTGGTCCCCATTTATTCTATTCTTTCCTTTGTCTCTGTCCCTCCTCAAAAGCGTCAAAGCAATCATGTCTTCATCAATGATCTATTATCCCAGTACCCTCACACATCTTAGATAAAAAGCCTGGTTATTATAGAAGAGCCAGAGAATTGGGAGTGGCTGTCCCTCCTCCCAAGTCTACTACCCTCTTTCAGAATCACTCAGGCTACCTGCTGTTCCCAAAAGCTCCTCTAATCCCTACTTCCTACTGTCCCCCATCATTGTTTCCATCTGCCCCAGCTTGGTTTCTCCTTACCAGTGAGGAAACTGACAAGCAATCCCACAACAATGACTGTGGTGGAATTGTGTGCACTGTACCATAAATAGGATAGGCTGTAGAATCGCTGCAGTCCTGTGGGCCTGAGGAGAGCAGAAGGGTAAGAGGGGAATACCAGCTTGGGGCACCACAACATTCTATGTCTTCCTCTTGTTATTCTACACCTGACACCTTAAAAGCACAGTCCTAGGCCTACCCTAGAGTGGTCCATCCTAGGATGGCCCCAGTGATCAGCAACCTGCCCCCCAACCCCATCCCACCTAAGATACAGCCTTTACTCACCTGAACACTGCTGAGGGCATCATTGTGGTCATAGTGACATCCGTAGTGTTTCTATATGAGGGGAAGCCAGTGCCATTGTGGGGAGGGAGTACTGTATTCGAGGTCATGCTGCTCACCATACTCCCGATGCCAATCCAGAAGGCCATGATGAGTCCAGCCAGCAGACCCACCACTGCACCCTACATCACATATTCCCACTTAGAATTCAGGGACTTCACCCATCCCTCCCTAGCACATGTTCCCTCCCCTCTCCACTGCCAAAACCAAGGCCCTGACCTAGCCTTTCTGTCCCTCCTCAGCCCGTTACCTCTTCATCTGGCTGCCAGGGGGACACTTACAGTTGAGTTGGCACAAGGGAAGAAAATGCCAAGGCAGAAGAGTCCAAGCAGAGGTCCTCCAACCATCCCAAAGATGCTTATTGCTGCCTGAAGAGGAAAGGATTAAACAAGAAAGATAAAGTAGCATAAATATTTAGTAGCCTCATAGATATAGGGATAAAGCTACTTCTTATTCATTCAAAATTCCCAGGATTTGGAGAGTTCTTCCTATCAATTGCTTCACATAGGGTAGAGTAAGGACTGGAGGGGATGAGGGGGGAATCTCCTTCAGACTCTTTTCTGTGGGGCTAAGCTTTCTAGCTCACAGCTTCAGGATTTAAAACTCATCCACTCCACTCAATTTACAAATAAAAAACCAAGGTTAAATACTGGAGCTGCCAAAAGAATTCTGCTTCATCAGTATAAGTGGGCCTGCTCTGTCACAGGTGAGCATGAATGGGTGACTAAGTAGAAAACACAGAAGGTCATTCCTAACTATGGGAAGCAACTCTTGGCTTGATCTCTTGTAGCCCACCCTCCCCCCACCTTCCTAAACAAACCATACCTGCTCTTTCCCACTGTATTCCTTACCTGCAGCACAGGCCCCATTAAGGAGGAGATGTAGGCCATTCCCAGACATACCAGGCCATAGACTACAGCTAGGGGAGGAGAAAGGAAGAAGACAGATGAATCCTGATATGGAAGAAGGGAGGAAGAAGCAGGACTTGTCTTCCTCTTCCTGCCTCCTTTTAAGGTTTATACTTTTATCACAGTCCCAGGTTCTCCTACCCAGGAGCCTTTTTTTTTTACCCTCCCAGGGGAGCTGAGGACTTCTCTTGCTCACACATACAAGAGCAGTTTATACTCTAAGCATCAAATGAACTATGTATTTAACTCACTAGGTAAAGAAGCCAGCGGGGCTAGGAACAAGTGCTTAACAAAAGTAAAATCACAATGGTAATGATGAATTTGGAAGTGACCAAAAAAAAATACAAAAGGGTCAATTCAATTCAATCCAACAAGCATTTATCAATCATTTACTATGTGTCAGAGCCTGAGGACACAAAGAAAACCTCAGCCTTTGTCCTCTTGCTCTCAAGAAGCTTACAAGCCAGTGGGGTGAAGGGACATGGGAACAAGGGCTTACCAAGGACCTTGGAAATCAAGGTGGCACGCTGTTCTGAGATACTGAGGAAGTGGGGTCGGATAAGATCTTCTATGGTGACTGTTGCAAGTGAATTGAAAGCTGAGGAGATAGTGCTGAAAAGCAAGACGAGGATGGAGGTTTGCTCTGGCTCCAAGGCTGAGCAGCGAGGTTTTTGCACTAAGTGGCCTGATTGGTTGTAGTGTACGGGGCTTGGGGCAAGGATGTGAAAATGTTACAGGAGAGCTGTCACCACAGTCAACAGCTTGAACACCGGCTGGTGGATCAAGGAAATGCCAACAACAGCCAGCCTTCTTTCTGGCTGGCAGAGCTCAAGGATAAATTCTGTTAAAGGGTCTTAATTTCAGGGAATGGCTTAGTGTAACAGGGAAAGCTATCCATGAAAAAAAAGGGGACACCTTCTGGAAGGCAGCCTTCCTATTTGGTCTGCATGGACAATGGAGTTTTTTGTCAAAGCTGGGAGATGCAAATAAAGCCAGGCTACAAAGTGTTCCACATACTGGGATTCCCTCTCAGGGCAAGCAGGGCCAGGTTCTCAACCTTTAGGACCCCGGAAGTAGGGCCAAGGAGCAGCATAATTTACTCTGTAGGGAAAATCAGCCAAACACCTTACCTGAGAGAACCACTGAAGAGACAGGCAACAAAGAGCCCAGGTAAGCCAGGCAGCTCCCCCAGGACCTCCATCACAAAGTACAGGACCATCTGTGGATACAGCAATGCATTCAGTGGTTTAACAGCTGTTGTGATGGGTCAAACACATGACCCACCCAACTCTTCATGGGATATTATCAGGATATCCCAGCTCAAGGCATCCAGGAAAGCCAGGTCATCCCAATCCTGGAATGCAGAAGGACTGGGGAAAGGCTGAATGTGGGGGGGGGGGGGCCATGGGAATGTTGCCTGTATGAATGTTTCACCATACTATGCCTTAATAGAATGCTTAGGAGGAGGAATGAGTTCTCGATTTAGAGGGCCTGGAGTTACGCCCCCAGCCTCACTCTGCTAGGTGCTGAGGGAGACACTAAAATGAAGAAGATAAAGTGCCTGCTCTCTCATAGGCTGGGAAGGGGAACTGGCACAGTGCCTGGTACACAGCAAGCTCTCAATACGTACACTATCCACACAGAAATGGTGCAATGGAAAAGGTCCTGGATTTGTAATCAAAAGATCTGTGCTGCCTGTCAGATTTATGGAGAACAGAAGAATTCATGACCACACAGGAGATAGAGAACACTATGAAATGCAAAATGGGTAATTTTGTTTTTGTTTTTTTTGAAACATTCTTTTTTCTTTAAGGCAATTGGGGTTAAGTGACTTGCCCAGGGTCACACAACTAGTACGTGTCAAGTGTTTGGTCTGAGGCCAGATTTAAACTGAGGTCCTCCTAACCTCAGGGCTGGTGCTCTATCCGCTGTTCCACCTAGCTGCCCCTGAAATGGGTAATTTTGATCATGTCAAATTGAACAGTTTTTGCACAAACAAAGCCAACGAAACCAAGATTAGGAGGTAAGGAGAAAACTGGGAAAGAATGTTTACAACCAGTGTCTCTGATAAGGGTCTCATTTCTAAAATATATAGAGAACTAAGTCAAATTTATAAGAATACAAGTCATTCCCCAATTGATAAATGGTCAAAGATACGAACAGGCAGTTCTCAGAGGAAGAAATTAAAGCTATCTATAGTCATACGAAAAAATGCTGTAAATCACTATTGATTAGAGAAATGCAAATCAAAACAACTCTGAGGTACCACATCACACCTATCAGGTTGGCCAACATGACAAAACAGGAAAATGATAAATGTTGGAGAAGATGTGGGAAAATTGGAACACTAATGCATTGTTGGTGGAGTTGTGAAATGATCCAACCATTTTGGAGAGCAATTTGGAACTATGCCCAAAGGGCTATAAAAATGTGCATACCGTCTGACCCAGCAATAGTATTTCTAGGGCTGTATCCCAAAGAGATCATAAAAATAGGAAAAGGACCCACACGTACAAAAATACTTATAGCAGCTCTTTCTGTGGTGGCAAAGAATTGGAAATTGAGGGGATGCCCATCAATTGGGGAATGGCTGAACAAGTTGTGGTATATGAATGTAATGGAATACTATTGTGCTATAAGAAATGAGGAGCAAGCAGACTTCAGAAAAACCTGGAAAGACTTATATGGACTGATGCTGAGTGAAGTGAGCAGAACCAGGAGAATGTTGTACACAGTAACAGCCACATTGTGTGATGACTAACTTTGATAGACTTAGTTCTTCTCAACAATGCAAGGATCTAAGACATCTTCAAGCCTCATGATGGAAAATGCTATCCACATCCAGGGAAAGAACTATGGAGTTTGAATGCAGATCAAAGCATACTATTTGCTTTTTCCCCCCTTCTGCTTTGTTTTGTTTCTTCTTTCTTGTGGTTCCTCTATTGGTTGTAATTCTTCCTTACAACATGACTAATGTGAAAGTATGTTCAATAGGAATGTATATGTAGGGGAAGGGAGTGAAAAATTTAAAACTCAAAAGCATATGGAAGTGATTATTGAAAACTAAAATAAATTAAAAAAAAAAAAGATCTGTGCTGGAATTCCAGGTTCTGCCATTTCCTAGCTATGTGACTTTGGGCAAGTTACTTAACCTCGATTTTCTTATCTGTGCTGGGGATACAAAGACAAATAAAAAAGTTCCTGCCCTCGAGGAGGAGCTTATATTCTACTGCTGTGAAAAGTGCTTTGTAAACATGAATGTGTTATGTGTCACCGTTATACTTATTATGGCAGTGCAGGACGATGCCCTACAGGAAGCTCACCTGGTCAGAGGAGACTTGAGCTTGCTCTGGTGCTAGGGGGTGGTCGAGGTCATAGACGAACATGACAAGACCGATGAGGCAGCCAACGCAGAGGACCACCTGCTGGCAGGGAAATACAGCATAGCAGGAACTGCAAGAGAAGCCAGGGTGGTAGGAGTGGGAGCGGACGTCACAGAGTGCTGGACACAACAACCCAAGTCCCCAGGAGAGTCTCAGAACAGGGACCCCACGGTTCTGGGCTGCAGCTGCCAACCATTCCAGCAGACTCCCCGAGAATCCCTCCTCTCTCGTCTTTCCCTTTTCCTTCAACTCACAGAATAGCAGTCTTTTCACTGCGGGAGCTGAGGTAGCGCTGTACCTGGGCCTGGTTTACTCCATATAAGGAGAGCATCATAAAGACTCCCCCAAAAGACAGACTCCAGAAGGTATGCCGCACAAATGGGTCTGGATTCAGGCTGCAACAGAGTGACCAATCACTTTATGAGGGGTCCCTGGATAGAGACTCCGCCCCCCTTTAAGAAGGCACTAGAGAAGGGGCAGCTAGGTGGCGCAGTAGATAGAGCTCCGACCTTGGAGTCAGGAGGATCTGAGTTCAAATCCCGCCTCAGATACTTGACACTTACTAGATGTGTGACTCTGGGCAAATCACTTAACCCGGAGTGCCTCACTAACTAACTAACTAAATAAATAAATGAATAAATGAAGAAAGAAAGAAAGCAAGCAAGCAAGCACTAGAGGAAAAACAAGACTGGGGCCAGCCTGGGGTGGTTGGGGGTGGGGGGAGGAATTGAGGGAGAACAGCTAAAGTCCAAAGCACTACACAAATACTAGAAGTGCTAAGGGGAAAATCTAGGAGGGCTGTGGAAAGTGAATGTTTCAATCAAGTAAAATAAGTCCTTCTGCTTCTCCCTAAAACCCTAAAAGTCTTGTATGTATGTGCCAGAGATGGCCCTCGGACCATACCACACTTCATTCCTCGTGTAAAATCCTGGTTCCCCATCCACTTCCAATGCCCCAAGGTCCTGCTGTTGTCTCCCTTCCTTTCTTCAGTTATCAGACTTTTTTCTTTGTCTCAGCATTCCACCCAGTGCTTCTGGATATATCTCTGAGGTCAAGTCACAAGTTCCCACATGCTACAGCTGCCTCGTTGGGAGCTAGCGAATACTCACTCAATCCCAGAGATACGGCCATGCTGTGCAGCCACATCCCAAACATGCCTCAAGCCGCCCACCTTGACAGCCCCCACGATGACAACAGCTAGCTGCCCCAGTAACATGACCACTGTCTGGAACACATCTGTCCAAATGACCGCCTTCAACCCACCCTGCAGAAGAAAAGATAGACCTTACATAGCTCTTCTCTAAAACATCTGGAATCCAAGCCTACCCACTTTCCTCCTGGTGTCATGTTGCTGGTATCCTTTCAGGATCACTTCTACCTTTGCCACCCACTCCATCCCATCCTACCCCATTCCTCAGGGCACAGGGTACTTACCAGACTAGTATAGACAGTACACACAATGCCTAAAGCCAGCACTGAGCCCCACAGATCGAAGCCTGTCACTGTAAGCAGATAACAAAGTAAAATTCTCACTGAGGGGAGGGAGGTGCCTACATACAATTTATTTTTATTAAAACACACACACACACACACAACATATGCATATATTTTTTGTTTTCACATAACCTTCAGTTTTGGAAATATATCCCTCCACTCCCTTCTGCCCTGCTCTTGTAATAGAGTAAGAAAAACAGCAGCCCAGTATATCAATACTGTCTGACAGTATGTAATATACTATACCCATAGTTCCCCCACCTCTACAAAGAAAAGGGGAGATGTATTTTCTTAATTCTTCTCTAGGGCCAGGGTTGGTTGTTATAACTGGAGTGTGCTCAGTTTTTTGTTCTTTCCTCAGACACAATATAATTCAATTCAAAAACTTTTCAAATGCAGGCTGAGAAGAACTTTGATGAAGACAGATGCTTTGATGCATGTCTGTCTAAAGTCAAAGTGAATCATTCATTAGCTTTAAAGTATTTGAATAATAACACCAAAAGCTGTTTATTAACCAATTTAGATTGAGTAGTGATAAATTAACAAACTTCTAGTTACCCAAACAGTTATTTCTTACATACAGACTAGTCCAAAGAGCCTGGAAAGTGACACACCTTCCCTTTCTACACTAATTCTTATTTGGAAAGCTCTAACCTCCCTCATTTCTTGGGCATCCTGCCAGTCCTATATAGGAGCCTTGACTCTTTACCTGCATTGAGTGCCAAGGCTGGGGCATAAAGAACAACACCCATGTAGATCACCTGTTGGGGGAAGGAGGAAAGAGGAAGACAGAAAAGGGGAGAGAGTCAGAGAGGGAATAAGAAAGAGTGGGAAGGGGAGAGAGAGCTATATTTCAGCTCCAATATTCCACATTGCTCCCTTGTACCCAAGTATACTTCTTTTTCTCTATGTCTTCTTCTAGCCCTTGACTTGTCCCTACAAACCCTGTGGTGGGCTTAAGGTTTCAGAGTTTAGGGCAACAGTGATATCTGTTTATTTATCTGTGTGTGTGTGTGTGTGTGTGTGTGTACACATCCTTTGTGCCAGTGGAGGCAAATGAGGGCAAGATTATGTTAATTTCCTATGTATTCCTCTTTGCCTCATTTATTTCCTATCCTCTTTTTAAAAAAATTATTGATGCTCTTAAAAAAAATCACTGTGATATTACTCCAATAACTCCAAATAACAGGACCCTTCCTCGTAACAAAACATAGTAAAGTAAAACAAATGAATACGTTGGCCAGATCTGAAAAACATATGCCTTATTCTGTACCTAATTTCCTATCTTTTTCCTACTTACCATCTGAAAGATGAAGGTTAGGGTTCCACACAGTCGCACAACCTTAGTGAATCGAAGCTCCAGGTACTAAAATATGGCAGGGTGAAAAGAATCATGTCAAAGTCTAGGTCTCCCTACCTTATCCTGAGCCCCATATCTCTGATATCATATTGTTTATGGAGGTACAGAGGGCAAGGAGTAGGAGGGCAAATCTTAGTTCCATCACAGACCAGAGTTTGGGAATTCGACCCTATCCCTTTTTCTTTTTCAACCTCTGCTCTTATGGGATAGAAAAAACTCCGGGATATATGAGTCTGAAAGCCCACCACTGTTTCTTCTCCCTTCCTCCTCATCCCTGTATAGTCTTCCCTTTCCACTTACCTCATAAGCACTGGAGATATTCAGTCGGTAGAAGATGGGTATGAAGATATGGGCAGGCACCAGCAGACCTAGGAAGTAGGAGCAGCCTAGGAACCAATACTCAGTGCCAGAACGGTAGATCTCCCCAGGGACTCCTAGGAGGGCCACAGCTGACTGAAAGGTGGCAAGTAGAGATAGTGCCACAGGTAGGGAGCCCATGCTACGGTCAGCCAACAGGAACTGGCGGACTGTGTCCTGGCCCCTGCCTCGACGTGCATAGAACAGCCCAATCGCAAGCGATACCACCAACAACAGTATACACACTCCATAGTCCACAAGAGTGAAGCGGGAAGGCGTTGTTGGAGGGGTTGCCGTTGAAAGGGTTATGGTGGATGGACTTACCCCCGAAGAGAATTCTCTGATGCCCATGCCCTGTACCTAGGTATCCCTCACAGATCCTGCAATGCTCTCCAGTCGTGCAAGCAAAAGATGAATTTCAACTACAACCTGGTGCCCAATTACTCTCCTCACTGTTCTCCTCCTCTGCCAGGGGGCATGGTAGAAGCCAAGCTGTCAAAGGAATCAGGGAATCCTGTCAAGGGAACTGATACCAAGTCAGAGCCAGATTCCTCCTACTCTCACATCCACTTCCCATGGTGCTTCCCATGCCTGAAGCCAGCCAATTCAGCCTTGGACTACAGAAGGATCTGAAAGCAGACACATATGTCTCCAGTATACATTAGGGAAGGATGGAGTAGGGCAGAAAGCCAGCACAGAGATAGGAGAGGAGACATCAAGGCCTGGCTAGAGTCTATGGATCTGTTCAAATTCAAAACCCTTAGGATCACCACCCCAATAACCAGACAAAAGTCAACACAACACAGAACCAATAACTACAGTTCACCAAGCCAGTACAGCCCAGTCTGGTGCCAGAGCCCAGCAGGGAATAGGAATGTAAGATTAATCATGTTGTTACAATCAGTACTTCTGGTCACGAGCTCCCAAACTCTCCTTGTCCTTCTTGGCATTTCTGTTGTCTCTTCTCAGTGCCCTCCTGAAGCAATCCCAATGTCCTATCAATTCTCTGCTGAGATTCTCCTGAGGCTATGACAAATGCTATTCTTTACATCCCATTACAAACAACATCCAATAATCCCCTCCAAACCCTCCCCAGAACTATTCCTCTAGCAGAAACACCCAAGAATACCCGTGAAGCTGTGGGGCTCAGAATTAGAGAAGGAAAGAAGATCAAGGGAAAGTAAACAGTACAGTGACCTGGGGTAGACACACCTGGAGATGAGATCCCTCTACAGAAGCTGCACTAGGCTGGTTAAGTGGCCAGAGTTGTCAAGCTTCCTAGAGGAAGAGCTCTACTAGGGACTTACAGTCCCAATCTTTTAAGTAGCTGAGGTGGGGCCAGGGATGAGGGCGTGAACAAATTCCTGTAACTAATGATTAAGTTCCATTACACCCTTTCATGGAATAGATCGTAAAGCTTCAATTCTCCCAATACCTGGGGAGCAGTAACCGTGTGGCCACAAAATTAAACCAAGATTGGAGAGGCCTAGGAGTGGGTGAATTGCGGAAGGAATGCCAGGGCTTCAGAAACATTCCTAGAGAGCTTAGACTTCTCATGGGGCACCACTTGGCACTGTGCCAAAGGGGCCTGGTGGTAGTGGAATAGGCCAAAGGAAAAGGTCCTTCTTGAATTCCACAGGCTATGCCAGGCTGCTGTCAGCATCAGGAGCTCTGACTCTGGAAACTTACATGTCAGCTCCAGGGGAGAACATAAACAATTTAGGGGAAATAAATGACAGTCAATACCACATATTCTGAACGTAGGACAGGGGAGAAATGTGAGAGAGATGAGAGCAGTACAACAAAGAAGGAAACAAGGAAAGAGCTAGAACTCTTCAGGGAAGCTGAGAAGTGCTCTTGCTGCTACTCCGACCTTCTAACTTCTACTGCCAGAATCAGGGAATAGGCAGCCAGTCACCCTAGAAACAGAGTTTAGCTTTCAAGCAATCTAGAGACTGATTAACATACTTTGTGTTTCTCTCCCTCCCCAGCCTAATCCTCCCCTTTGGGATTTCCTTCTTCTCCCTAAGAAGACAGTCAGGCTTTCCTGCCACAAAGATCACAGGTATAAGTCTAGGCAGAGCCTGACTTTACAAAGTTTGCCCTGACCTGTGAACCTCCTAAAAGCAAGGTGAAAGGCGACTCACATCTGGTGGATCTGAGGAATCACACGCTTTTGCATTATCATAAGCCCTGTTCTTCCCAACTGCTTCTGATTGGACTCTACCTACCATTGGACACAAAGATGTCCTTGATATTATTGCAACATTCTGTGTTTCCTCCCTCCCTCACTCTTCCTCAGCATTATAGTGGGGGTGGAGTTGATCATAACTGTGGCAAAAATAAGATGAAAGATGGCTGATGGGTAGTTGAATGTCCTATGAATCACGTGACTTGGAATCTAGTTCCAGCCCTACCACTAAGTGATGAACTTTGGGCAAATTACTTTATCTCACAAGGCCTCAGTTTCCTCATATATAAAACGAGGAAGGTCTAGTAGTATGTGCTTCTGCGTAGGCAAATGCTTGGACTGCTAGATTACTAGATGCTCTTCCCAAATGTGTATTAGGCTTTAAAAAGCTAGGAAATTCTGTCCTAAAAACTAGAGATGGAGAACCCTAACAGGTAGGGCCAGTTTCACAAGTAGGGTGAATATAAGCGTGAAGACACAAGGGACACAATGTCTTGCTCTAAAATATTTCCTCCAATCCTTGTCACCATGTGCCTGACATTTCTTTAGGATTAAAAAAAAAAAGGATTTTCATTTTTCAAGAATCCTCTTTTAAAATTCAGATACCACCAATGTCTTAGAAATAAACTGTTGTAAGCTAGCTGAGGCCTTGTTCCATGAGAGAGATGAAAGACAGATGCCCTTGGCAGGCAGGTAACCGAAGCACTGACCTCTAGTCTCACATCTCCAATTGCCTCTTGAATACCTCAAACTGAATGTCCCACAGATATCTTAAACTCAACCTATTCAACATGAACTTATATTTATCTTTTTCTCCAAGCCTTCCCTTCTTCCTAACTTTCCTATTACTGTTAAGTAATTACTGCCTATTAGTGCCTGACACAAATCTCCCAGTTCCTCCTCCACTTAGCTATCAAAATGATCTTAATGTGCAGGTCCGACCATATCACCTCCCTATTCAATAAACTCCAGTGGCTCTCTATTACCTCCAGAATCAAAAAGTGCTTACTATGTGTCAGGCATTGTACTAATTTACAATTTACTATTTCATTTGATCCTCAGAACAACCCTGGGAGGCAGGTGGTATTATTATCCCCATTTTACAGATGAGTAAAGTGAGGCAAACGGGGGGGGGGGGGACATGATTTGCCCAAGATGATAGCTAATAAATAAATGTCTGAGGCTGGATATGAATGCAGGTCTTCCTAACTTCAAGGCCTAGCACTCTATCCACTGTGCCACCTACCTACCTGCAAATCCAATTTGGCTTTTAAAACCAGTCATAATTTAGCCCCTTCCTATCTTTCCTACCTTCTTATATATACCTTACTCCCTTCCATGTACTCTGTGATCCAGTGACACTAGATTCTTTGCTGTTCCTTGAACAAGCATACCATATCCTGAGTGTATTTTCATTGGCTGTTCCCTATGCCTAGAATTCTCTCTTCTCATCTCTATCTCCTGGTGTTCCTGGATTCTGTCAAGTGCCAGCTAAATCCCATTTACTGTAAAAAGTTTTTCCTATCTACCACTCCCCTCCTTAATGCAAGTGCCTCCTTCTCCGTGATTACATCAAATTTATTCTGTATACAGCTTTTTGTACATAGTTTTCAGGTTGTCTCCCCTATTAACTATGAGCACCTTAAGAGCAAGGAATGTTTGGGTTTTTTGGATTTTTTTTTTGCTTTTCTTTATATTCCTAGTGCTTAGCACAGAGCTTAACTAGGTGCTTAATAAATAAATGCTTGTTGACTGACTGTGTTGTCAAAAGGTACTCAAACAAATCATCTTAATCACAATTTTGTCAAACATCCTACTGCCTGATTACTCCTTTCTGAGCAAGAAACTGCCAAAAGTCCTTTGAAAGGTCAGTGTCTTCATCTTCTCCTCCCTACATTCTCATCTCCCTAACATAGCCCCCCCCCCCATTCTCTTTTACAGGTTTTAGAGTTGGCATATACAGTAGAGAACAACTAATCCAACCCCCTTCATTTTACTAAAGAAATAGAGACCCAAAGATTAGTGGTTTGCTCAAGGTCACAAAATCAGCAAAGCTGGGAATACAGCCCAGGCCATGACTTGGGCTGTGTATGGTGTCCCCAACTGCTTTACCTCCTTTGCTTATGCCAGTGCTAAGAAGCCCCCTCCATCTCTTTCCAGCTCTTCATCATTTACTTTTCTGTGATTAAAGAAAGGGCAGATCTGGACATCCAACGATCTTCTCTTGACCTTTCCTCGGCAGCTCCTCTTTCCTTTCGGCATAGCCGTCTTCATTTCTACCTCTCCCTCCAACTGCTCCCACCACCACCACCACCACCGAGTCCTCTCCTCTTCCTTCTTTCTCTATCGCTCACTTACTCACCCACCCTTTCTCTCTTTCCCTCCCTCTCTCTTCCGATCGAAATCTCTAGGTGGGGGAGAGTTCTCGTCTCCGGGAAGCAAGCTCGAGCCATTCTCTCCCCCACAGAGGGCACTGAACACGGATTTTGCAAAAAGAACCCTTCCCAAAAATGTTAAAAAATAAAAATAATTAAAAAAAGAACCCTCCCCCTACCTAATCCCAAGGTTGGGATGCTCGGTCCTTCTTCCTTCTTTCTTCTCCGTCCACTGCTTACCTTTGTCCGGTAGATTCTTTACTTCCTTGCCTCTAAGTCATAATTATCCTGGCTCGGAGCAGAGATGATATCTCTACCTCTTCAGACCCGCCCCCACCGCACCCCAGCTTGCCCCACCGGCAGCTACCTCCAGCGCAGTACTGCCACCTCCAGCACACGTGGGTTCTCTGGCCTCCGAGCCGGGAGCGCGCGGACTGATGACGGCCTGCCCTGCCTCCGAAGCTGCGCCTCCTCATTGGAGCAAATGCGGCCCACGGAGGCTACGCCCACCATGTTAACTGAGGGCACGTACGAGCGGGAAGTCGAGTTGGCGCCGAAGAAGCGACCAGGGGATTGCGGGTCAGGGAGCACCTGGATCTGCTGAAAGAACTGGCTGGGGTTCCAGACAGAGATGGCGGAGGAAAGGACGTCTGCCCCCCCGAGGGACCCGGGAAAGGAAACCCTAAAAAAACCGTCGAGCGACTCAAGAGCTGGGGGCGGAAAGGGCACGCTCGCCAGCAAAGAAAGAACATCTCCTAAAGCCCTCGGGGCGCTGGCGAAAGTTAGCCCACAGAGACCAGTCGACTGCTTGGGATGGGGGTGGGGAGCAAACGTCACGGCGACGCGCTCGCGTAGTCTCCGACACGTGATGACCGACGTCACGCGCTAAGGGAAGAGGGAGAAAAAATGGCTCCCGCGGGCCTCGGCCAGTCTGTGGGCTGGTTGTCCAGAGCTATACCCCTTCTCCTGGCTCTGAGCGCTGGAAGGGCCCCGGCGCTGCCCGAGGTACTGAAGAGGGAGTCGGTGGGGTCTGGGAGGTGGGGAAAGGGGGTGATTGGCCCGGGTCTTGCCTGGCCACCACTAGCGCTGCTCTCCTCCTCAGGTTCGAGGCAGACGGCCGGAGTTGGGGCCAGCCAGAGGCGCCGGGCCCTGGCCGCCCTCCGGGCACCCTCTCCAGAACCCACCCCCGCCCCGTGTCCTCGCACACATGACCTAAAGTGTTAGTAAAGGATCAGGCTAAGGATTCCGCGGAAGTAGTCAAGGGGCTGATGTGTGTGTAGGACTACAGGATAATTATCGTATGGGGGAGCACCTCATAAAATTTTAGGTCGGAACCCCGGCCTGGGGGGGGGGGGTTCATCCAGGTCGGATCTCCCAATGTGGAAACCCCCTCAAACGATGCAGATGGGCAGCTTCAGAGTTTGAGAGCTCTGTGGGGGTAGAGAATGAAGGGACTTACCCCAGGGTCACATATCCAATACGTCAGAAGCAGAACTTGAACCCAGGTTTTAGAGCCATGCTCTTAAAGGTCAGTTTAAATGTCTGTTACTGTTTGTACAATTAGTCATAAATGTCAGCTACTATAATTACTTAGTTATAAGGGAGCCTGGAACTGGAAGTCAGAATATGATCATTTATGTTGTGAAACTCTTTATAAATAGTATCTCATTTTATTCTCACAAAAACCTGGCTGGCAGATGCTATTGTTATCACCATTTCATAGATGATGAAACTGAGACAGGTCAAGTGACATGCCCAGGGTCACATAGATAGTAAATGTCTAAGGCCAGTATTTGACTTCAGGTCTAACAGACTTGGGATCTCCTGCTCTATCCACTGCGTTATCTAGCTGTCTCAAGTCACTCACACTTAAGTAGCTGTGTGATCTTGGACAAGTCACTTTTCCTCTTTAGCTCTTAAGATCTTAGATGTAGAACTAGAAGGGACCTCAGAATCCATGTAGTCCAACTCCTTCATTTTACAGATGAGGAAACTGAGGTCCAGGGACTTAAGAGATAGGTTTTGAACTTGAGTCCTTGGACTGCAGAGGCAATGCTCTTTCTAATGTATACTGTATTGCCTGGAGAGGAACAGATATTTAAGTGACTTACTCAGAGTCACATCCAGGATATCTCTGGTCCCCAGTAAATCTGAGGTTGGAGGAAATGATCTCCAAAAATCGATTTCTAACATTCTGTGAGTCTGAGCTAGCTAACACAGCTGTTACTAGTTTAACATTTCCTAAAATGTCACTTCCTTTACCTTTTTGTCATTTTAAGAGTCAACTCATATCCTCCATGACCAAATGCCTGCCTGTAATGCAGATCTAAAACTGTAAGATGTTGCCAGTGTTGAGTTCTTGTAAAAATCTTTCATGTCTCTCCAAATCAATATGACAGGTTTGCATGAATAAATTATTGTATTTATATATATATAAATGCTTTTGAATGGTGATCTGCAAGGGGCTTTTCCTCATAGATTCAGGTTGGGAAAGAATGGAGAGTAGCAGCTGAAAGGATATTATCTGATGAAAGAATTGATACCTAACACAAAAGAAAGTAATACATTTTTCTTCAGACCAGACTATAGGAGGAGTGGGTAGAACCTCTTTCAAAGAATCTGGTGTATGAGTTTAACTTTCCTATGTTGGGTGAAAAGATAATGCAATCTCATCATCTGTTTGTAAGGTAGGAATGTGCCCCTTTATAAGGTAAGAATTTGGTGGTCAGTTAGCACTACTCTGACCATTTCTTTTTCTTGTCTGTTCCTGACCTTACATGTCCTCAAGGTATGCAAATATTGTCCAGGGCCTGCACATGACACATCAGAGGTTGACCATTACTGTAAGCAGAGACAAGAATTAAAACTGAGGGCACGTTGCTGTCTGACCAAACAGGGCACCATTGTGGGGTAAGGAAGAGGAATGGGCTGTGTGATTAAATACAACTGTATGGTTTGAAACTTCATCTTTGATTCCCAAATTACAAACTTACAGACACATGGTCCTTATATTTTTTAATCCTTATGCCATTTTGGAGGGAAAGCCCTAGGGACCACCTGTCCCATTTGACTCTACATAGCTACTGCACAAAAAAAAGTATCACATACCTTTTGCCTAGCTAGATAGTTGTTGTTTAGTCATTTCAGTCTTGTCTGTTTTCTTGGCAGAGATACTAGAGTGGTTTGCCATTTCCTTCTCCAACTCATTTTACAGATGAGGAAACTGAGGCAAACAAGGTTAAGTGACTTACCAAAGGTTACACAGCTAGAAAGTGTCTGAGGCCAGCTTTGAACTCAGGAAAATGAGTCTTTGTGACTCCAGGCCTGCCACTCTATTCACTTCGCCACCTAGCAGTCCTGCAGACAATACTTGCTGTTAAACTTGTAAAAGTACAACCATTTGCCATTATTTCCTTTGTTTTGACATTGAAGCTAACATTGGGTGTGAAACAGAAAGGACCATATGTCTCAAGTGCAGAAATGTATCCTTCTTTGAATGTATTACAAAATGTCTCTGTACCCTTCAGCTGAACATAAATCAATAATTGATTTGAGTTCAGTTATATGACTATGCATTCTGCATTATATATTTGAAGTTGAGCTGTTTTTTGTTTTGTCCAATGACTGTTAACTATTTTGACCCATAAACATGTTTTTCACATCTTTCTTTGTTCCTAAAATAATTTAAGATAAGTTGTTTTGAAAATTTCAACAATAGCAATTTCTCTTGTGTTTTTTTTTCACTAGAGTACCAATAAATGTATTTTTTTAAGGATAAAATATTGTTACATATGTGTCTCCAATTATTTGCTAAACTTTTCATGGATTTGCTTCAAAACACAGTCTAAAGGTATCCTTCTAATCATTTTGACTCCTCTCTCTACTTTGTCCCCAGTATGTCACCAAGTCCATTCTGTCTTCATTCTGTCTCTTATCTGTTTCAGTCTATTACTCTCCATTCCCACTATCATCATCATAATCTAGCCTTGAATGCATGTATTTTTATTGTCTGCTAATTGGTCTTCCTTCTTTTAATCTTTCTGTCCTCTGAATTGTTTATTTTGTTGCCAGGTCAACCATGAGATTCCCCATGCCAACAGAATAAAGCATAAACTCTTGAGAGTGGCATTCTTCTGGACATAAGTTTTCTGACAACAGCTCTGTGATATGAATCTGGAGCAAGATTCACTGATTTCCAAGCACATTCTCAACTCCTTGCTCATGCTTTTCTTTCTTCCCATAATATTGTGCATACTTTTCTATATCCATCCTAGCCAGTCTTATCTCTCTCATAAAGCTTTCAGAGATCATTGTAGCCCATCCTGATCCCTCTCTCTGATCTTCTGTAGCTTTATAACACATGATATCAGATACTTCCTTGTGACATTGTTATATTGTTCTTAAACTCCCAAGTAATTTTTGTAATTGTTTTTTTGTGTCTTGTTCTTGTCTTCTCCCTCCAACAGCTTGTAGGCTCCTTGAGGTCAGGGATCTTTGTTTACATCTACCAGTGTAATAGTGCATAGTACTGTTACATAGTAATGCACAGCACTTGGCAGCTCTCAATACATATTTGTTGAATTAAATATAAGAGGGAAAACAAGACTAAAGCACAGTCTCAAACCCTGAGGATTTTGAAGTTTAGTTTCGTGGACATTCACATCTGTACTTGAGGGGAAAAAAAAACTTATGTTTTTATATAACTTGCATTTTGTATCATCCTGTAATGAGTCACTAGTGATCTGGTGACAGATTTGAGACACTTTCTAGATAAGAAGCACAGAATTCTCTCCTTATTTCCTAATAGGCATAAATAATTCTGACAGGTTGGTCCCAGACAGGCAAAGATTAAGATGGAGCGCAGCACCTCTGGTGTGCTATCTATGCAGCTGGTCTACAATAAATGATGGCTGGCTGGAAAAGGAGACAGAAAGACAGGTGGCAAAACAGTCCTGCTGGTGGGAAGAAGTGGTGGATGGGGCAGGAGGGACAAGATTGCACTGACCTTCTCTTCTTACAGACTAGATCTTCAGAACTGTTCCCTGAAAGAACTGGACACATTCCTTGCTGAGGCACATTCTGCCATTGTTCTGTAAGTGCTCTCAGGTCCCTCGCTCTCAGAGGACATAAGTATACAGGGGTGAAGAGCTGGGTCACTAGGGAGGGAGCCCTTCCAGGAGAAATGTAGGGGTCCTTACTTGGACAGTCCTGGATGAACAATGGGTGCTGAGAGAAATAAAAGTGTGTGACAATTAAAAAGGTTCAAGAGACATAGTTTTTTGGGTAATTTAATCATTTTATTAATAAAGCCAGCAGTTTATTAACAAAAGGATGGTCAACTGGCTGTTTTTCTTAGACCAAAGACCCCTAATGGTGGTGGGGTCATAGTTTATATGCCTTTCGAAGTTTCCTGAGGGATGCCTAATCACCTCTGATTTGTTAACATAGTGTTAGGTTGGAGAGCTTAGGTTAGGGAAGTGGGCTGTCTTGGGTTATGTGACTGATATCACCCTTAGTCAAACAGACATCAATTTATATATTACTTGTCTTGATAATAGGGAGAATCAACATTTTCCCAGGCCTGTCTGAGCAAACACAATGAGCCGGAATACACCCATTAGCCAAAACTTAGAATTTCTTGCTTTTTTTTTTTTTTGAAAGAATTTCTTTTACTATCTGATTAGATCTTGACCTGAGTAAATCTCTAAGAGAGACTTCCCACACTGATTGATTTCTGGATGAGGAAGTAGAAAAAGGGAAAAATCTTGGTCCTAATACAATAATTAGTTATTAGATATAAGAGAAATATTCATTTCTCACAAATGGAATCGGGGAGCTTCCCTAGGTAAGGCATCATAACAGTGGGTATTTTTGATTTGCAGGGACCTACAAGCAAACCCCTTCCTGAATATATCTACCTCAGTCTTCCGTAATTTCACTGAGCTCCAGACACTGTGAGTAGAGTGAAGTAGGAAACATAATGAGATCCGCAACATCTGATTGCATGGTATGACAATTATATGTTATGTTCAGGGTGCTGCCATTGAAAATTGACTGTCCTGGAGGTTTTTATGCCTGGGATAATATCACCTGTGGCAAGGACAGCTGTATCTGCCATAAGCAAAGAAATCAGTGCAATAATACTGTGGAACCAGGTATGATTTTTCACTTCCATGCTTCTAGGAACTGCTTCACTTCCCTTAGACTCTACCCTTTGAATAAGGGAAAAGTAGTCCCTGATTTAATTAGCATCCAAGTTTTCAAGAGCTTTCTTATATTCCACAGACCCTCCCACTCTATGTAGATAAAGGACATAATCAGTTTTATCCTTGCTATTGTTGCTACTGGGCCTGGAAAGCAGTTTGAAGGATTTGGGGTTGGAGCAGAAGGATGGGTAGCCTCCACTACTAATGAATCTGTCCTGTCGTTAATGCACTATAGTTTCTCTCCTGCCACAGCTTTGTGCCCCGAGAATGCATATTGCGTCCCTGATGGCCCAGGCCTCTTCCAGTGTCTTTGTACTAGTGGCTTCCATGGCTACAAGTGTCTACGTGAGGTGAAGAGTGGGGATATGAACCCAGGCTTGGAATGAGAAAATTTACTGACCAGTAGGCAACCAGAGGGTGTAGGCTGTGGGAAGTGGGTTTGGGACCTGGAGTAGTTTGGAATCAACTGCATGAAGAGGGAACCTCCAGGGAGAACTGCTGTTTAGGGAGGTGTGCTTGGGTGGAGGGGGAATGACGAAATAGACCTCTCTGAAAGGCTCTGCTGACACTTGTTCCTCACGGCATATTACTTACAGGGTTCCTTCCCGCTCCTCATGTTCTCTGGCATCCTGGGCACTATCACATTTTGCATATCCATCTTGCTTTGGGGGACCCAGCTTCGAAAAATCAAAGCCTCCTGAACCACCTTTCCTTGGACCTAAAAATCGAATAAGCTCTTATGTGGGCGCAACCCAGGAGTGTTCTTGCACCAGTCAGGCCTTGATCGGGAGTGCAGAGAAGTAGGGGGTGGAGAGAGCTGGAATCTACAGGTGGTCTGGCTGGTTCTAGACCGGGCTTTAAGTTAGAAGTGTCTGTAAGGGATGTTTGCTCCTAATAAAAAAATCCCCTTTTTAAGAAAAGGTGCTCTGCGTGTTTGTGTGTGTAAGAAAATTACTCCCCTCCGGCTCTTCCTAAAGCCGAAAGCGGGCCCGCTAGTCCCGGGTGGGTTAAGGCCGGCGATCTCTCCCGGACCAGAGCTGATTTGGTGATGCAACGTCACATCACTCGGCCACGCCTCCTTTACGTCCGCTCGGCCCCGCCCCTGACGTGGTTTGGTGGCGCCGTCTGAGCCACGGCTCCCGCCACCAGAGAGTGAGACGCGGAGCATACACCGGTTCGGACACCTCCGCAGTCGTGGGCCACGTGGACGCCCCGGCGCGCCGCCCCGTTTCGCTGCTTCGCTCCGCACGTGGTCCCCGCCCGGCCGCCCCTGCGCTCTCCCAGGTGGCACGGCCCCGGCTCCGGCTCCGGCTCCGGCTCCGGCTCCGGCTCCGGCTCCGGCTCC